CACTTCCCGCGCAAGGTATGAAAAACCGCCCTCAATATGACCCTCCTCCTTGATCATGATCATCGGACGAGAGTAGGATGGTCAAGATCAACAGTGATATGCAGAAGGTGACGATACACTGCAAAGCGCGGAGAGAGACCAGAAAATGACGGGCGAGAGAGCACAACGGCATTAGTACGACGACACGGGCAAGGTAGGAGAGACGGGCAAAAGAATCGTAATTTGCCGCTCCGCCGCGCGCGCATGGGCGCGGCGTTTTCTTAACTCGTGTTAACCTGTCGATTGAGCACCGGACTTCATGTAGACCCCGTCATCGTAGACATTCATGACTATTTTCGGTTCTGAATTGCCTGTTGTCGCCATCTACTACCTGGAACCATCGTCATTTGCGGGCGCGACGTCGCACGCGACTTCCACCAGCGCGGTGAATCACGATTCTCTTGTCACATACCCGGCAAGGTAGGCCGGCATGGGCCTCCTTAAGCCTGAAATCGAAGTTTACTGTGCTTTACGTGCCATTTTGCAAGTTTTGAATGCAGTGCAACCTCTACAATCACCTACCTGGCCACCTGACGCAATTGAAAGGCTATGACCTTATTTATCGCGGCAAGTGCCTCTGAGACAAGGAGCCTTTAAGACGTCCATCAAGATTTCTAGCGTCCTACCCCTCTCAGAGTCGAAGAAGAAAATAGTAGGCCTATCTGATTATCGATTTAGTCTTTCAATTTCAGACGATACGCTTCGTTCACATCTTCTTCTGCTTTATCGGTGTCACCTCCTCGTCATTGTTCATCTTCGTCCTCATCTCACGATCCTCTCAAAATCTCCACGTAAACCTTCGTCTGTCGCTGGCCAGCCTCAGTTTTGCGGCATGGATTGCTTGCGCACAACTTCTACTTATTGCTGTATACAGGTATGTAAACTCTGGTAATTTGTAAACAAATGTAGGTAGGGATGGCGATAAACGTAAATAGCTCTAAAATAAACATGCGTAATGTCAAAGCATGAATAAAATCATCTAACCCTCTGAAAGATAAAAGACTTTGCGATTCAAGCGCTTCTGCTAAAAAGGTCAAGTCTACATTGGCCGAATCGGCGGAGTCAGTTCCATCCGCAATGCCTTCTTCACTGTTTACACCATATAGGCACAGTCTACGTTGATCGGAGCTGTATGAGGCGTTGGTTCATCCCTTCTTTCCAAGTAAAGAGAAGAGAGCTAGCAATAGGGAAGGATTTGACTCCGCCCAGATGGCCAGCGTGGTCTGTGGATTGAGCCGCAGAATCCTTTCATTTTATAAACCAGTAACTTTGTGTGTCGGTTTGTATGTATGTAAGTATGTATGTAAGTATGTATGTATGTATGTATGTCTGTCCGTCCGCAAAATGTTTCACGGGTTCGATTACTGGAGGGAAAACGACCGCTAGGCAAACCGGAAATCGGTTGGTGCAGATGTTCACAGTATATTGCTTTGGCAGTCGTTTATTGTTGACTGCTCGGTGAGTCGGCTAGTGGTAGAATGTCACAAAAAGGGGCGTCCCTCAAACAACAGACGGGGTTGCGCCTGGTCTATCTAATCTGTTCACCAAGGGTCATAAATACATTACCAGGGGCCTAAGTCACATTCACTTAATATCCTCGCTGTGTCTAGATGACACTTATAATTGATGGAGGTTCTGGAGGCATAGGCACTCCAGAACAACAAGGACAACTACTGATAAATACTAAAAAATTCTAGGGAATAAGTACAGCGTAGACTCAATCTCAGTGGTATCAACACATGATCTAGGGGGTCAAAATGTGATATCATGATGTAGTAGTCGAAGCAGTCGGTTGTGGGGAGTGGGTTGTATTGGAGGCCAGTCTTGTTCAGCGGCTTGATGATTACATGAAAGGTAGAGATTAATTCATGATGTGTGATAGAACAAAATTGAATAAGAGGTCATACGGGCCTTTTGTAATTTCCTTCGTGCGCATGGACTGATCGAGGTTGTGATGAGGCATTGGTGCTTTCTTCCACCGCGTCCAGAGGAGTAATGTGGTGAAATGAGTAATAATGTTTTTTTTTGGTGAAATCATAATGGCACAATCACTGTAAGATAAAACTGGTAATACCGGCTGTTACACCGAATCCTTTGCTGGGCGTTGATGAGTGTGCACGGCTCGGAAGTGGTGGAGAGTGAATCGGTTAATGATGGCACGTGAAGAGGTAGGTAGTGAAATGAAGAGTTAAGTTGACAAATAATGTAACGGTTACTTCGCGCTCTTTATAACGGCATGAGCTAGTTTGGTAGACATATTGAAAAAATGTTTCATAATGCTGACTAAAAACCCAGCAACAGAAATCAAGATTAGCGGTCCAAATAGATAGGATGCCGCTGCCAAGACTAAAACTGTTGTCGCTGAGGCGATGGCTAGCTTCCAGTGGGCGCGAATGGTGTCCATTAAGGGACCCATATCGGGTATTTTGATTTCTGATAGCGATGTTATAAAGCTTTGTTTTCATAGTGCTCATGGTTGAAATCGAACACCGAATCGTGTTTTTCAACGTGGTATAGAAGAGTACCGTTCAGTGGTAGAGTAATTTTCTCATTTCCACATTCGACAACGCAGTTTTGGGAAACCATTGCGTAGTCGTAACTGAGCTTGACTCTGGTTTGCGGACTTGTGGAACCACATTCTATGGAGAATGAATGATGTCCACAGACTACGGTAACTTTTGTGGGGTCTTTGGTTTTGCACTGCGTGGTAATTGCCGCACCTTGTATGCAGCTATAGCACCCTGTTAAGCTACTGAGGGATACCGTGCACTTTTCATCGTCAGCGAAATTGACACTTTCTGTGAGGAATTTCGACTGAACGGTTACAGTGGTTTCAACTTCAGCTGAACTAGCGAATATTTCGCTGCCAGTACTGCGTATTTCCACTGAAGGTGTGACTAGCGGCAAAAGGTGGTCACTGTCGGCCCTATTTGTCGAAGTGACGTTTCTGGACAGTGGCAGTGGTGCTTGGTCCAGCCCGTGTTACAGTCACAGATTATTTTATTGACGCACTCGCGGAAGTTTGTGAGTGCATCTTCGTATGTGGAGCATTCGACCGGTACGGTGAATTGATCTGGTAAGATCATAGACTTGTTCAGTGACACGGCGAATCTTTTACCAAGCACTGATAGTGTTGGCTTCTGTACTGATACAGCTGTAATGTTAAAATTGCCAAATGTTGAGGTTACATACGGTTCCAAAATGAGGCTTCCCTTTTTCGGTCTTTCCGAAAAGGGTGGTTTCCAGTTCTATTTGAACATTTGGGACCCAATCTCTGCATTCGATGACCTCGAATATATCTTTCGTGATGGGTACATGAGCAACCTTATAGAAGGTGCATGAAGGGGACGCTAGAAAGCATCCACAACTTAAGCCTCCACAGGTGTACTGGCATCCCGAATACCCTGGGTACTTTCTTGCTCTGGACAGCTCGGAGACGGTTTCGTTACGGCGAGTTTGATCGCATACGTTTCCGTGGCAGGAACCCGCCTGAGCACATCTAACGCTGGAGTATACTCTGAGCTCTGTGCTTTTGGTGAAAAACTTCGAAACTTTCGAGCAAACAAAGTGTACAGCTGTAATTTTTACTTTGAGTAATCCTACAGTTTTGTTCTGCAAACGCATTTCTATGCAATGTTGCGTTTGTATTCTATTAAACAGCAGTTCTCTGCTGAATTCATAACTGCAAACAGCATCCTGGTTGCAGACTATGTCAGTCGCATGCCTTGTGAAACCATGCTGGCACGCTGTTGCCCCCGGGATTGTCGCTGCTACTGTTAGGCACAAGGCAATAAGCGCCCCACCGCTAAGAGGTGTTGCGCTCCAGAAATGGGGTGTTGCGCTTCAGCGTGCGATGTGCTGTTGCCAGTTTACTTGGATTTGAGCTGGGGGTTGCGTGTGCTTCGGCCTGATGAGTGATATGAGCAGCCAGATGGGCATGATGATGATAAGCATTGCGATATAGGCAATTATTGCTACGCTCAAAACAGCACCCACCGGCCAGCAGTGAGGATTCCCCAATAATGATGGGCTTAGTAGCAGATTGGAATTTGAGCAAAAATCGGGATTAGAGCATATAGTGGAGAAGGTGGATGGCTTTCATTTTGGAAAGTACTTGATGGTAACATCGGTCACGTTGCGCAAGGGGGAAGCAAACAACTTGTAGGTTTTACTAATGCCATCGCCTTCGAACTTGCGACACTCGTCATTGAAACATAGTTCGTAGGGGAACGTTTTTCCAACAACTTCAACTATACCGTTATGACATAGTGGGTAGGATGCGTGTGAATTTATTATAAGAAGTAGAAATGATATAATTACGAACATCATTAGAAAGGGATAGATAAGGTGATTACGTACTTTTTTTGCCGCAAGGGGGAATCTTCCTGCCTAGACTGCTTGCTTGGCCTGATCTTCCCTTAATTAAATTGTGATGCATTAGGTTCTCTTAGGCTGTCTTCAAACTGATTTATGACATCATATGCCTTAGTTTTTGAAAGCTCTAGGTAGGACTGTGCGCGTTTTCGCCGGTTTACCCGGAGGTGGTGCAGTTGGCACATTAGCTGTACCGCTATCTACTGCACGTATTTCTAGCGGGTATAATTTATTTAATGGTCTTTGTAGGACATTACCGCTTGGGGTCAGGACCTTTGCTGTCCTTACAAGGCCATCGTGGCTACGGGATAAATCAATGATTCTCCCATATGACCATGAGCTCCGAGGGAGCAGGTCCTGCTCTATTAGAACTATTTCGCCCTTCTCGGGTACAGTTCTCGTTATGTGCCTTTTTTGTTTCAAATGAAGTTTTTGACTTTCTCTCAAAATGATTAGATATTCGGAACACCACTTATCCCAAAATTTGTTAGCGATTTGCTCGGAATAATTAAGCGCTTCTAAGGCTTGTTTTCTTGTTTGTATGCATGTTGGTTCATATGATGGGTCTTCCGAGTCATTTAAGGCCCCGGAATCTTGAAGTGAAAACTTTGTGTTTCCTTGAAGGAAATCGACCGGTCTCAGTGGAATTTCGGATAAATCTGTTGTGCTTATCTTTGTTAGAGGGCGGGTATTGATTGTTGCTTCGATTGAGGCAACGACCGTGCTCATCTGTATGAAGCTCAATCTTTTTCTTCCGATTGATTTTCTCATGCACCGTTTTACGGAACCGACCAGTCTTTCCCAAACACCACCCATCCATGGACTAGCAGGCGGGTTGAATATCCATTCTATGCCATTATCAGCACAGTAGCTCATAACTGAGCTTCCTGTAGAGTCAGCTGGTGTCGAAAGCTCGACTATAATTTTTGAACCCAGCTGGAAATTAGCACCACAATCTGAGCGGATTGTGTGTGGGACCCCTCGTCTCGATATGAAACGAATAAAGCTGTTCAAGAAGGCACCCTGCACCCGCTGGTAAGGTTATTCCTGTTTACTGTGGGATTAGGTCTTGCGGAAGAGCGGTTGGGCACGCTGTTTGTCGTGTTCCCATTTCTTCTCCAGCGATTGGATTCGAGAGGTGGGTTACCCCTGGGAATGATGTTTCCAGGCCTCTCAGACTTGACGCACACAGATGAGTGGTGTATTCCCCCACAGTTAGGTGCAGTTAGGTTTACTGCATTCGCTGCTTGAATGGTTGCCCAAGAAGCACTTCCAGCAGCACCTCTTTTCTTGCAGGATGTGCCTACGCCCTTGGCAGTCGGCTACCGTTCTACAATTTATAGACGTGTGATTTGACCTGTTGCAAAACACACATTTTATTTGGTAGTTGGAAGGGCTCTCGGTTTTGAAGTTGTTGCTCCGAGTTTGGTAGGTGCCCCCAAGTCGCGACTGGACGTAGGCTTTGGCGCTAATTTCCTTGTCCAAGGCCCCTAAGAGTGCATCGATTTCCATGTTATCGGTTTCTTGATGCTTAACTAGGATGTCCTTAACTATATCATCAGGAAATTTTTTCAATATTGTTTCGGACCACATGGGATCACATGTCCCTCTTATATCGTACCCTGACGAAACCATTCTGATTGACGAGGGTTTTTATGGCATCAAAGCATTCTTGGCAGCTCTCTGCCTCTTTGGATGCGTTTTTTAGGTCGAAAAGTTTCTGCACGATTTTCGATTTGTTCATTGGCTTATTGCCATATCTTTTCGTGACGGTTTCTACCATCCACGTATAGTTTTTTGGTACGGGTTGTATACCCCTTATAACTTTTTCTGCCGCCCCCTTTAAACTGTCTCTTAAGAGAACGATTTTTTCTATTTCACTGATCTCATCGTTGCTGTGTACCAGGGTTTCGAAAATGGCCCAAAATTCGGCGAATTCTTCCTGGTTTCCATAGAATTTCGGCAACACTATGGTTGGAGCCTTAATAGTTCGGCACCCTCTTGCTGGAGCTGTAGTGGTCTCACTGGCTGGGTGGTCCGAACTGGCTTCCCCACTTTGATCATACTGGGGAGAAGCATATGTGTTCCTTCCTTGGGACCCTGGGGGATTGAGCTTCCTCTGGAGCCTTTGCAGTTCAACTTCCATATCTGAGAGCTGTCCCACTATGCTACCTACAAAGCGTCCCGCGTCCTCTAATATCCTAGAGTAATGGGTCTCCTTCTCGAGTTCCTCTACTTCTGCAATTGCCTCCTTCTGTTCTGTTTTTGATTTGATTGCATTGCAAAAATCCTCCAGAAGTTGGGCCTTACTTTCTAGTTTTTCTGTTGCTGGTTTTACTTGCGTGAGGCAAGTATTTAGTTGTTTAACATTAGCGGCGCATTTCTCGAATCGCTCATTATCCTCTTCTGGGAGAGTGATTTTCTGGCGATAACACTCGTAGGTTTTTAGTTTTTCTTCTACTGCCTTCGCGCTGCTAACTACCGCTTTTTTATAGAAGTATGTTGACATGGTTATGGAAATAAGGTTCGAATTTTTTCAGCAACGAGTATACAAATACAGCAATAAGTATGTAATAACTGTGAAGTAAGTAAGTAAGTATTAATAAGTTCTTAGTTCAGTAATTGAGTACCTGGTCCGGGTTTGTTTCCTCGGTTCGATGCACCAGATTGTTCACAGTATATTGCTTTGGCAGTCGTTTATTGTTGACTGCTCGGTGAGTCGGCTAGTGGTAGAATGCTCACAAAAGGGGCGTCCCTCAAACAACAGACGGGGTTGCGCCTGGTCTATCTAATCTGTTCACCAAGGGTCATAAATACATTACCAGGGGCCTAAGTCACATTCACTTAATATCCTCGCTGTGTCTAGATGACACTTATAATTGATGGAGGTTCTGGAGGCATAGGCACTCCAGAACACTCCGCGGCG